CGGGGGGGAGACACGATATTTTGGAGGGGGGAGGAATGGAAAGGTTGGCCAATTAAACAGAGAATAGATCCTTAAGCGATTAGCAGAGTTCAATTTTATTTGCAGACATGTGAGGGGGAAATAGGGCTGGGATCTAGTTCCTTATCTGAGGGCATTTATACACCTTTTAAAAGCATGCTATACAGTATATTGCTTAAGGTGATCAAATTAAACCTTAATAAACATGTGGGACTTTATCAGTGTACAGCGGCCTAGCTCCATTCCTGATTTGAGTACAGTGGGCCTTCCAACTTCGCTGGGGTTAGGGGTGAAGGACCCCCATGAATGTGGCGTATCTTGCAAATTAAAAACAAAAACCACACTATTCTTTGCAAATGAGAGAACACCTGTCTAGGAATCTCTTTCAAGTCTTTCAAGGCAACTCTGTGGTCAACATGTGCCAGAATTGGACCACAGAATCACACTAAAGGACCTACAAATGCCTAGAGAAGTCTTTTCTCTAGGAATCTCTCCAGCACAACTCTATGGTTCTGGCAGAGTTGCGCTGGAGGACCTAGAAATTCCTAGAGAGAAGATATTAATCAAAACCACAAAAAAAGCCACAAAAGTCAAAGCTGGAAATATGGAGGGCCAACTGTATATAGATTCTGTTAAGAGAGCCAGCATGGTGCGATGGTTTGGATGTTGGACTAAGGGCTAGCCTACATATAAATGTATTGTGCTAATTGATGCAGATTTTGGCACACTTGTATCAATGTTTAATTGTCTTCACTTTTCTGTACACATTTGCATCTGTTTGCATCTTTTCTGCCTCCTTCTGCCGAACATTTGCAGCCATCCGAATCCATGAGAAGCAGAAGGACACATGTTTGATAATGCGCATCCTCGCAGATACTCCAGGAAAAACTGCACAGCCTTTTTCGCTGGAGTTTAAGCAGTTTTTAAAACACACACACACACACACACACCCCTGCTGCAAAAGGCCCAAACGCCTGTGAATCACATGTGGCTGGATTGTATTTTTATTGACTGGAATGAGGAGTATTTCAATCGTGTAGGCAAGCCCTAGGGCTCTGGAGACCAGGGTTCAGATCCCTGTTTGGCCATGTAAACCCATTATATAACATTGGGCTGGTCACATACTCTCAGCCTCACAGAAGGAAAAGGCAAACACCCCCCCCCCGAACAATTCTTGCCAAGAAAACTCCATGATAGCTTTGCCTTAGGGTCATATGGCAGAATGAACTTGAAGGCACAGAACAACAATTCTGTTAAAGGATTTTTGACCACCCGTTTGTCAAGAAAGGCCATTTTGAGAGCCAACAAGTGCAAAAATATCACAGAATAGAATGGCCAGCTTGCCTCCCTTTCGGCTGGGCTCTTCTACAATCTTAACTGCTTGTATGATTTTTAACATCTTTGCCCAATGAAGAAGCCAGTGGAGCCTCCAAAGCTTGCAACATGTATTTTGTGCATTTTGGTTGGTCAATAAAGGTATCACTGTTTTGTGGATTTTGGATATGTCCTGGCGGTAACCACCCAAATCGAGTCAGGAATGACTTGAAGAAAAATGGTTTTCTATCCATTATTCCTTTTGTGACAAGGCTGTGTTTCCTAGTGGTTGTGCTTGAGAGGTGACATTTTGGACAGAATCAAAATGCGGAAACCAGCACTCAAACATACACACACAGCCTCTGTATATGGATTTTTATACGCCCAAGCTAATCATAATTTGTATATAAAAATCCAGTTTATATTAGAAAGAAGTTTAAGTGTAAGTATATATGGTTGATTTTGCTATTGGGTGTGTTTTTGTTCTGTGTAAGTGTCATGTCATGTCATGTCACTGATGCTGTATAGATGGCTAAGAAGGTTTATGTTTTTAACAATAAATAGTTTAACAATAAAAAAGAGCCTCCTTATGTGGGCAGTGGGCAAAAACTGCATTGGCATGGCTCCATGTTACAGCAAAAGGGATTGTCCTGTTGAATGTTTGCCTCCTTCCTAGCAATTCTCTGCTCTAATATAATCCCTCATGGTGGTTTTGTGTGTGCACATGTGTGTTGTGTACCTTCGAGTCATTCCCAATTTATGGTGACTCTAAGGCGAATCTATCATGGGGTTTTCTTGGCAAGCTTCTTTAGAGGTTTGCCATTGCCTTTGAGGGTGAGAGCATGGGACTTGCCTAGAGTCACCCAATGGATCCCGATAGCCAAGCTGGGATTCAAATGGGTTTATATGGCCGAGCTGGGATTCGAACCCTGCTCTCTAGAGTCATAGTTCAAGGCGCAAACCACTACACCATGCTGGCTTTCTCATGATGGTTAATCCACAGGAATTAATGGAAAAAGGGAAAGAAAAATGGAGATAGAAAGTGGGATTGGGTATATATCTGAAAACTATGATTTGAGGGGAATGACAGAAGGGCTTTGGAAAAACTAGCAAGAAAGAGAGCTGTTATACCCTGGCAAGCCCCCCCTGTCCTTTTTCGGTCAGCTGGGAAGGTCACGCCAGGGGTGGCCGGCCCCGGCATGACAGGTTGACGTCACCCTGAATGGGCCGAGAATCCCCTGTCACAAAAGGTTAGCAACGCCACTTGGTCCTTTTGTCCTGGCCATTGCTAGGTATTAGGGAAGGGGTAGGCCAGGATAGAAGTCATGGCAACCGGGCCACGGGGCTGAATTCGGACAACGTCCACCTCCTGTCCGCACCCGCCGGCTGCCTGAGCCATGACTTTTACGGTGCCCCAGCGAGCGGTCATCCATTTTCTATGGCTTAATGGATCCGGAATAAGCCCCCTCTGCAGCTATTTTGACCTCCCTTAATTTGCCAGATTGAAAACCAGAGATGGTTCCTGTACTTTTAAAGGTTGTATAGACAAGGGCCTTTCAGCAGCTGTTGTAAAAAGCAACACCTGCTGAAATTCCCTCTACTACACAAGCCGGATGGCCATGTGTTGTGAGGGCGCTGATAGTGTCTTCCTGCATGGCAGATGGGGGTTAGGTTGGATGGCCCTTGGGGGTCCCTTCCAACTTTATGATTCCATACAACTATGAAAGGCATGGTTTTCATCCCTCCATTTTCAGTCTGGCAACTCTAGAGCCAGCATGGTGTAGTGGTTTGATTGAGGGGCTGTGACTCTAGAGGCCAGGGTTCGAATCCCTGCTCAGCCATTAAATCCATTGGGTGACCCTGGGCAAGTCACAGACTCTCAGCCTCAGAATATGGCAATGGGCAAACTCCCTCTGAAGAAACTTGCTAAGAAAAAAAAAACATTATAGGTTTGCCTTAGGGTCACCGTTAAGTTGGAAATGACTTGAAGGCATACAACCACAACCTTAGAAATGTGTTTCTGGTTGCTCTGAACTTGCGGGTTTTTTTTTTTAAGAAAAAAAAATTGTGCCAACTTGTAGTTATGAGGAAGGCAAATCTGACGGAAGGTTTTGCTGAGAGGAGAAATGGGTGCAGGTAGATGTGGGCTATACTATACTTACCAAGCAGCGGAAATATTTCAGAAAATTCAGTGCCAACTCAAATCGAGGACTTTTTCTTCAGCTGCCCTTAGACTGTGGAATGACCTGCTGGAAGAGATTCAGCTGCTGAATACACTGTCTGAATTTAAAAGAGCATTGAAGACCAGTCTCTTATGGCAGACATATTAAGATTATTTTTAAATTGTGAATTTTTAAATGATGAATTTTAAACGTAGATTGTTTTGATCTTGCTTGCCCTTTTAATTGATGTGAGTTTTAACCAGTTTTTTAAAACTAATGTTTAAACTCTAATAGTTGTTATTGTTCCCCACCTCGATCTGTGGAGGGGGGGTAAGAAATAATAATAATAATAATAATAATAATAATAATAATAATAATAATAATAATTATTCCGAAGCCACCTGCTCACTCCTGGTCCAATGACTTCTTTATTTCCTTTTTCTTTGGTGAGGAGAAACGTGAAAGGAGCCAAGCTAACTTCTTTGCCTCGAGAGAGAGATGCTGACCAGGCTTCTGACTTTAGAGGCTGTGACTTATGTTTCTAGCCTGGCTTTGAGCATATACAGAGTGCCGGAATGGAAAAGAAGTGTTTTTCCCTTCTGCAGGGTAACAATTGCTATTTTATTTAAACATATAAAAGTCTGCAGGGGGTTGTTTCTGAATGCATGCAGAGTGCTTCTTCCTTACCTCTCAGGAGAAAGCAATTTAACATACTTTTTTTCTTAGACAGAACAACTGGAATTCTGCATATGCTCAGAGACACTAATTGCAATTGCTTCTTTCGTTCTGGAACCTTCCTTTTGGCACTGAGCCAGGGCTGAAATGTAATATTTGAGGTGGCTAAAGTGAAGGAAATGGGATAGCCAGTGTTGGGATGTATTCAGGCAGGGATGAAATAGGACTTGTCTACATAATTAAAAGGAAGCCAGTGTGGCGTAGTGGTTTGAGCGCTGGACTATGAACCACAGTTCGAATCCCAGTTGGGCCATGGAAACCCACTGGGTGACCTTGGCCAAGTCACACACTCTCAGCCTCAGAGAAAACTTGCCAAGAAACCCCCATAATGTCCTTTTTAGGGTCACTGTAAGTCACTTGAAGGCACACAACCACAACAACCACAGTTAAAATATTCTCATTCTATTCGGATAGAATCCGATCCTGCAACTCAGAGGAGTTCGTGCTTTTCGCAGGGGGCTGCAAAAAATTCCACAAACTTCCCAGAAATAAAGATTAACAGCTCTGACCGGCATATCTGCAAGGATGCGCATTATCGAATATGTGTCTGTCTGCCTGCTTTGCATGGAATCAGAAGGCTTCGCATTTTCGGCAGCGGGAAAGCGAATAGATGCAAATTTGCGCAAGAAAGTGAAGACAATTAACTGCTGATGTGAATATGGGAAAATCCACAGCAATTTACATAATACTCTTACGTGTAGACTAGCCCATAAAGACACCATTGGTCTCAGCCCCATGTGCCACCTGCACTAAGCATGAGAAAAGGAGCCATGGGGCCGTGCTTCAGTGGCATAGTAGCCACATTCTTGGTCACTGTCCATTTCCACTCCTGCCAATATTTTGCAGATGAAAACAAGGATATCTGTGGCCAAGCAACATCAGCGTGTGGTCAAGATGGCAGATGTTATTCATGAGAGAGAACACACAAACCAGGAGAGGCTATTGCAGTTTGCTTTTGCCTGAGTCTACTGGGAAGGGCAAGATTCTGCTCTTCCTCACTACTCCCTCTTGCATTGACTTAACTGAGCACAGATTACTTTTGTGCTTTTAAACTTGTTTGCAGCAATTAAAATAAGAGGAGGACAAAATGGGAAAGTGGGAGAAGGAGAGTGAAACTGGGATATTTTAGATGCTGCTGAAAATGTGGGATGACAGAGGATTAACCAGGATTGCCAAATTGGAGAGTCAGCGTAGTGCTTTGAATATTGGACTGTGATTTGAACCAGGGTTAGAATCCTGGCTCGGCCATGCAAGCTAACTAGGTGACCTTGGGCAAGTCACACTCTCTCATCCTCAAAGGATGGCAATGACAATTCCCCTTTGAAAAAACCTGCCAAGAAAACCCCATGACAGGGTTGCCTTAGGGTTACCATAAATCAGAAATAACTTGAAGGCACAGAATAGCAACTACAAGCCAAATTGGAACAACTGAGGGTAGTCGCTGGTGTAGGTGGCCACTATGTGTGTTTCAGGCCTTTCCCAGTTTCTCCAAACGTATTGGACTGCTTCTCCCACCACAGATATTGGACAAGGAGGATGAGGAAAGGTGTTCAAAACACACAAACGAGGAGAGGCTGCAACAGTTTGCTTTTGTCTGAATCTATCGGGAAAGACAAGACATCATCCATCCTCTCCTCTCCTCTCTTCTCATTTCCTCTCCCCTCTGCTGAGTTCACTGAGTACCAACTTTGCAGTTTGAACTCTGTTTGCAGGAATTTAAGTAAGCTGACGACAGAGGGGAAAGTGGGAGAAGAGAGAAACTGGGACATTTTAAAAGCAGCTGAAAAAGTGGGATGACAGAGGATTAATTGCCAAATTGGGAGAGCTGGAGTGAATATTGCAAGGCCTTCCTCTACTGGTTAACCTCAAAGAAATGCCACTTTTTAGAACCAGAAATGGACTTCCATCCACTTTTTAAAAAGTGATTTTTCAATAGTCCACAAGCCCCTGAGTATTTTCATGGCATCAAATGTCCCTGGATCTGCTCAGTTGGCCATCCTCACTGTAGAATGGGGAATAAGGAGTCAGTCCTCTTTATCCACAGATTTTTTTATCCATGCATTCAAGCACCCATGGCTTGAAAAATATCCCAAAATAATGTAAATTCCCTCAAGCAAGCCTTGTTTTTGCCATTTTATATAAGGGACACAATGTCATTAAGCCACTGTATCTAATGGGACTTGAGCATCCACAGATGTTGCTATCCATGGTGGTCCTGGAACCAAATTCCAGTGGGACATTTTAAAAGCAGCTGAAAAAGTGGAATGACAGAGGATTAATTGCCAAATTCCAGTGGATACCAAGGGTCTGTTGTAGTCTGTTTTGGGACTGGTCTCTACCATTTGGGATAGGTCCTTGCCTTGTGGGAGGGCAGATGCCAGGGCGTACCAGGTTTGGGAATCAAAGCATTGAAGGGCAGAAATGTGCTTGCCAGGCAGTGTGTTGTGTCTCCCGCGTCTAAACTGTTGCTCTCAGCTTTGGCAAAGGCACACACCCAGTGTTGAAATTTGGATCTGGAATGGAATGGGGGCAGTGGCATCATTAAGGGGATGCGAGGGGTATAGACCGCACCAGGGGACACCACTGCTCCTCAAACATCTGCTTTTGGTCAGCAATGGGCTGTGGCATTTGCCTGTGTCCCATTAACATGCTGTAAGAAATGGGGTGAGTGGGGTAAGGCTCAGTGGGAGGCGAAAGGAGAGATGCCAGGTTTCTAAAAGAAAAAATAATTTAAAATTTAAAATTGTTTTAAAAAGTATTTAATTTTTTTGGTAATTTGTTAAATTTTCTTTACCAAATTTTCACTTCAGCCGCATGAAACTATGCCTATGTAGTTGCACTGAGGCTGTGCGTATGATACTGTAATTCAAAGGTATGGTTTTAATTTTGCTAGTTGTTTTATGTCACAGCTTATTACCATGACATTCGGTGACATGCAGGAATTATGATTAATGAATAACAGTAGTACAAAAACCATGAGTAAAGATTCTGTATGGGGTGGCAAGGGAAATGAGAAGGGGGGGGTTACGCCATGAGTTACCGCACCGGGTGACGCCAACCCTAGGATCGCCACTGATGGGGGGTGTCACACTATCTGGCCCCTTTGCCTCAGGCAGCAGGACACCTTGAGTCAGCTCGGGCTGCTGGAACGTGAAACCAAAGAGTGTCCCCTTTTTTGCTGGGCTTTGGAGGAAGTGGAGAGCAGAAGGAAATGACTCCTTCAAAGGCTCAGAGGGAGGACACCCTTGGCTTACTCATCCCACACTTGTGGGAAGGAGGAGGAGGAGGAGGAAGAGGAGGCCTGAGCATGGATGGGGGGGCGATCCCTGCCTCTTTTCTCTTGCAATGCTCATTTAAGTCCAAGGTCCTCATTGGTTAGCTGTTAATATATTCCAATGAGCTCAGCTGCCCTGGGGCTTTATATGGGACCCCGGTGGCCTGACTCTGGTCTCCGGGATTGGCAGCTGCCAGCCACCCTCCCCTGGCACCAGGGCACAGGGGCACACTAGACTGAGAAAACTGCAGGACCCCCCCCAAGAGCTGGGTTTTTTAAGAAAAGAAGATTTAGATGGAGTCCCAAACAAACAGGTGGGTGCCAAAGGAGGTTTTATGCCCCAAGAAACCTGCCAGGGCAAAGGTCTTGGTTATTGTGTGTAGTGTTCCCCCCCCCCAACCCGTCAGAGCATTAAAATGCCATAGCTTAGGAAAGGTGCAGTGTTGTTGTTTTTTAACAACTCTTATAATCCACCACCCAGCTGGTGGATTCTAGAAGTTGTAGTTAAAAAATAAAACTTTTCCAAGAGCTGGACAGATACAGGAGAGAGTGTCCCTGTTTGACTGTATGTGCATGGCAGGCAGGGAATGGACCCAGATGTATGCGCCTCCTAAGACCCACATGTATGCACTCAGATATATGCGCTCTCGAAACCAGCAGCTTGGCAAAC